TGCCGAAATCTTTAAAAACACGGTGCCAGAAATACTGAATCCAAAAAGAAGACACATCTCCAGAATTACAAGGTTAAATCCGTTTCTGCTCCAGCTGACAGCAGAGGTGGGTTTCAGCAGGTTCTGACCAGTTCTGGAGAACTGGTAGCGGAAATTTTGAGCCGTTCGGAGAACCGGTAGTAAAAATTCTGCCCCCGTCTATTCTCTGCCACCCAAGTCCCAGCTGATTAGGAGGAAATGGGGATTTTGCAGTATCCTTCCCCCGGATTGGGGAGGGAATGGAGATTTTACAGTATCCTTCCCCTGCCACGCCCACCAAGCCATGCCACGCCCACCAAGCCTTGCCACGCCCACCAAGCCACACCCACAGAACCGGTAGTAAAAAAATTTGAAACCAAGCACTGGACTGCACCAATATGGGGTGTTCCCATTGGCTGATTTGGAAAACAATACCGTGATGGTGTGGGAAGCCCCACCCTCCTCCTTTTAGAGCAGGCGTGTCAAACTCAAGGCCCGTGGGCCGAATTCGGCCCACAGGGTGCTTAAATCTGGCCCGCAGTGCCGGCCTGGAAATAACAAAGGATTGGCCCGCCATGCCACTTGGCCAGCCAAAACAGGGCATGGGGGGGCCCGCGCACGGCCCCTGCACAGCCCGTTTGCAACCTGGACGGCCTCCTGAAGCACGTTGCCAGCCAAAACGGAGCACGGGGGGGGGCACATGGCCTCTGCGTGGCTTGCTTTGGCCAGTAAAGTGATGCAGGAGCCTGTCCAGGCTGAAAACCGGCCGCGAAAACTGCCCCCTCCCCCCCCAGGCGGCCCGCGGAGAACTAATAATGCTGATCCAGCCCTCGAATAAATCTAATTTTGACATCCGTGTTCTAGAGAATGAAATATTTGGGGGGATATTAAAAGAGGCAGAATATTCTATTTTCCCAAAGGGAGAAACAGAGAAACATGTTCTTAGAGGCAGAAAGCAGCCCCCAGTCTTTCTTAATAGCCTCCCAACAGATTTTGTAACCATTAAGAAAGTCTGGGCCAGCCTATTCACAAAGAAAACACCTTCACCTTCAGCGGCAGGATTAAAATTTACATCCTTCTCCACCCAAATTGTAAGAACAGGACATGATCTTTTTGGACATAATAGGTTTAACCCACCACCCTTAGAATAGCAAAAGCCTAGCCTAAATGGTTTTTTAATTGGGATTTTAAATTTTATGGATTTGGGGGTTTTAAATTGGGAAGCTAATGATTTAATTCTTTTTTAATTATCTTAACTTGTGTATTTGTATGTTTTTTTATTTATTTATTTATTTTTAAATACTTTATTGATTTTTTGAAAAAAAGGTTTTTTAAAAAGAAAATATCAAATCTCAGGTAACATCTGAGTTATCATGCGATTACATATATACATTATATACACATCAAGTATCTTCAAATCTATCATTATTAGAAATAGACATATCCTTATAGCCTTGTTCTATTATTCCACCATTTCTACCACCTTTCCCATACTGCCTTAAATTTTGAATTCTCATCGTCTTTAAGAACACTAGTTAATTTTGCCATTTCTGCACATTCTAGAATTTTATTTGTTATTGTCATCTCTGGAGGGATTTGTTTATCTTTCCAGTATTTTGTATGTTTTTTAATTGTGGCTGTTCACCGCCCTGAGTCCCCTCTGGGAGAAGGGCGGTATACAAATTAAATAAATAAATAAATAAATAAATGACAGAGGTGACCTAGAGATGAAGCTCTCACCTCACAATCAGGAGGCTGTAAGTTCGATCCTAGGTTAGAGGCCAATATTTCTCTCTCTGGGCACAATGAGAATATATCTGCTGAACAAAACTCCACACTGGTGACAGGAAGGGCATCCGGCACGGGTGAAATCCAGCAGGTTCTGACAGGTTCTGGAGAACCGGTAGCGGAAATTTTGAATAGTTTGGAGAACCGGCAAATACCACCTCTGGCTGGCCTCAGAGTGGGATGGGAATGGGGATTTTGCAGTATCCTTCGCATGGAGTTGGGTGGGAATGGAGATTTTGCAGTACCCTTTCCCTGGAATGAGGTAGGAATGGAGATTTTGCAGTATCCTTCCCCTGCCACGCCTACCAAGCCACGCCCACCAAGCCCCACCACGCCAAGCCACGCCCACAGAACCAGTAGTAAAAAAAAAATTGGATTTCACCACTGGCATCTGGCCATTAAACTAGCTCCATTTAGTTGCGGGGTCGTTAAAAGAAGATGATTAGAATAGCAAAAGACACAGCGCTCTCTGCATTGCACAATCCCCAGCAGCATTTCAGAAACCGTGTAAAAAAAACTTTCATATTTTCATACAGAAAATGTTGAAAACGGAGATAAAAAATGAAACCAGAACTTTTTCTTTTTTGGGTTTAATGGAAAAAGAATTGGGGGGGGGGAAATTGGAACTTTTGTTATTCTATAGGTGGACTGCAGCAAGACTACCGGTATTCTATGCACAAAAATGGAAGGACACTTCGATTCCTACCACGGATGAATGGTTGATGGAGTTGGCCGAAATGGCAAAATTGACCACTTTGATTAAAGAAGAGAACATACCGATAAGTACTTTTGTTTCCACATGGAGACCGCTTCTGAACTCCGTGCTTGATGTGGAAAAGAATGAAAATCTGATTTTGGGATTTACCCATTAGACTGATAGATCTTTACAGAAACGGCTTGTTCGTATTATTATGAAAAAAAAAAAACAGTTGTGATTTGATGTTAATGCCTTATTTTATTTTATTTATTATTTATTTATTTATTTATTTCCAATTTATATACCGCACCTTCTCCCGAGGGACTCAGGGCAGTGTACAGCCAGATAAAAACATACAATACAAACATTAAAAACAGTTAAAAGGATATATATATTAATTTGGCCCCAATTTTACCGTAACAGAGAGAGTTGGAAGTCAATGCTTCTTTTTTTTTCTTTCCTCACCTCTCTTTCCTCATCTTTCCCCCACTGCTTTTCTATTTATTTTGTAATTTGTATTTTATACTTTATAATTCAATAAAAAAAAAATTGACACCACAGAAATTGTGTAAAAATCCTTGCACTCGTCAAAGCTAATTTTTCAGCTGTCCCAGCTGCTCATCAACAAACTTCCTTTCTTAAGCAGCCTCCATTTTATTCCCGGCTTCAAACTGGATCTGGATTTTTCTTCCAACAATGGTATGGTTTTCCAAATCACCTTGCCCAAGGTGGTAAGATTTCCTGGTGGTCTTCCATCCAAGGACGGAAAAGGAGTGTCTTTTATCTAGATCTCGATGGCCGTCATGTGCATCCATTTTGCTCATTTCTGTCCATCCCTGTCATTTTTATATTTACATTACTTCTGCTTTAAAATAGTGATTATTAAATTCAGCCATTTTAAGACCTGTGGACTTCAACTCCCAGAATTCCTCAGCCAACCATGTTAACTGAGGAATTCTGGGAGTTGAAAGTCCACAAGTCTTAAAGTGGCTACGTTTGTGGGACATTGTTTTAAAGGGTGTCCTTTGTAGTAAAACGGAGGTGTCCAACCTTGGCAACTTTTAAGACTTGTGGACTTCAACTCCCAGAATTGACCGGCTAGGGAATTCTGGGAATTGAAGTCCATAAGTCTTAAAAGTTGTCAAGGTTGGACACTCCTATAGTAAAACCTTGTTTAACGGACAAGCAGATGACCCCCAAAAATGTGAAATTTACTAAACCAAGGTCTGCTACATCACATTTGATTAATATTTGGAGGCAACAAAGCTCACCTAACTCCTGTCTTGCTTAGCAATGGAAATGTAGGGCTCAATTGATGTTGTAAATTGAGGACTGCCTGTAATCCGAATAGTTCTGAATAAGGATGATGTCCAAATGTGGGGCTCAGCATCCATCAGGATGCATCCTCCTCTTTCCAGCATCAGCTTCACATTGGGGGGGTTGCCATGGTAACAAGAGCCTTCACAGCAAAAGGAATATAGAAGGTGGTTGCCATAGTCACTAACTCTTCGCCCCTCCCACCCCAGACTTCATGTGCTCCAGATGTCATTATAGAATTGCAGATGTCCCACAGTGAAGGGCCAATTGACTTAAGACCTGATTACTGTGCCAGCCATGCCCTTCTCCAGAACACTCCATTCCACACATCTTAAACTCACCCACCTAGAGAAACATTGCCTTAGATCAGGGATCTCCAAACTTGACAAAACTTTTAAGCCTTGTGGACTTCAACTCCCAGAATTCCCCAGCCAGCTATGTTATGCTGGCTGGGGAATTCTGGGAGTTGAAGTCCACGAGCCTTAAAGTTGCCAAATTTGGAGACCTGCTGGCTGGGGAATTCTGGGAGTTGTAGTCCACAACTCGCCCAACTTGAGAAACACCGCCTTAAATCAAGGATCTCCAAACTTGACAAAACTTTTGAGACTTGTGGACTTCAACTCCCAGAATTCCCCAGCCAGCCATGCTGGCTAGGGAATTCTGGGAGTTGAAGTCCATGAGCCTTAACAGTTGCCAAAATTGGAGACCTATGTTTTTAGACCACTGCCAGGCACCCTAGCCGTGGTTCCTCCTTAAATCTGAACTGTAAGCCTTGCCATCTATGTCCTATTATTTCCTTTCCGCCGCCTTCTGCATATGCTCAGAGGCACTCTTTTTCTCCTTTTTCTTTTTTTCCCCCTCTTTCCATCTGCATACATTCTAGCGCCGTTCCCCTCTTCCTTGCCTCCTTCCCCACCCCTCTGGAAAATATTCCGCGGCTTCTAATATTACTAATAATTATTAATTATAAACCCCTTCCCTTTTTTTTCGCCCTATCTAGAAACGCCTCGCTTTCCAACGCACGTGCAGCACGAAGTTTCGCTCTCCCCGCGGCTCCCCGCCTGCTTCCGTCCCGTCTCTTTCCTCATTGGCTGCCGTCCAGCCCTCCCCTTCGCTGATTGGCTCCGACGCGCTGCGATGGAACGAAAATTCCCGGGCCAACGTTCTAACCACGCCTACCCACCCCTCTCCGGATCAGCTGCAGTTGTTCGCGGGTCGAGTTTTGAGCGTGACGTCGATTCACACGGGAGTAAGAGGGTAAGGAGTAGCTCCACCGGGTCGGAAACTTACGTGCAACGGGGAGGAGGAGCGTGGGAATTGGAGCTGCCGGCTTCGAGGGAGGCTTTTCCCCAATATTCCGCGCTTGAGGGGAAATCCAGAAGTTCGGTGACTTGAGATTTAATGCGGGGAAACTCGCGCGTGGGAACGCGTGCTTGCGAGTTTCTATTGCGCCTTCTTGAAACTCATAAAGGGCCGCCTTCTTGCACACCCGAACTTATAGATTAGACTATTTCCCATACGGGGTGAACTATCTGCGTGGTTTCCTCTGATGCGATTTTTTTTATAAAATAGATTTTAAACTTTTAAAAAGTTTTTTTTTCCCCCCTGAGTCGTCATATCAAGCCAAGCGGGCCCGAACAATGAAAAATCCTTGTGTCGGTTTTGAGAGGGTGATTTTATTTTTATTTTTTTTTAAAAAAAATCTTTTTTATGTTTGTTTTTTCAAAGTTATTCGAAGTTTGAAGAACTTTAAAAGTAATTTTTTTTGGAAAAGCTCTCTCATTTGGTTAAAAAAACCTAAAGTGAAGTCAAAATATTCCTTGCCCTGCGGGATCTTTCGGGTTCTCTTTTCTTCTTTAAAAGGAGAAGTGGTTGATGTCGAAGGAATCCAGCTGTTGATCGTGATTTTCTGCTTTGTTTTTGTTTCTTAAAAACTTTAGAGGCAGTTTTGATACGTTTGTATATTGTTTTTGTTGGATTGTTGTTGTGAGTTGCCCAGAGTTACTTAGATGAGATGGGTGGCATTAAAAATCATTTATCCCTCTAGTTCCATCCTCCCCCTCTTTCTAGGTTTCCCTCTCTTACACATACACACACTCATCCTGAATACGTGCAGTCACACACATACAGTGACTTTCAATTGTCACAATTGAGCTGAAAATTTCTTAAGTGAGACACGTTGAGTGAGTTTTGCCCCTTTTTGCCATCTTTCCTGCCTTCGTTGTTAAGTGAATCACTGCCGTGGATAAGTTAGCAGTCTGGTGGTTAACTTATCTTAAGATAAGTTAACTTAAGCCAACCCAGCTTCCCCATTGACTTTATTAGTCCAATTTATTATTAGTCCAATTTATATGCCACCCTTCTCCGTAAACTCAGGACGGCTTACAATGCATTATAGCAATAGCCTGCATACTTTTTTGTATATACCTGCTTATTAGGGCTTTCACCTTCCCCCTAAGCGGTGTTGTTCTATACAAAGTCGGCTTATTGACCCCACAATCTGGGTCCTCAATTTACCTACCTCGAAAGGATGGAAGGCTGAGTCAGCCTTGAGCCTGGTGAGATTTGAACTCGCACTAATTGCAGGCAGCTGGCAGCTAAGTGCTAGCACTTAACAGCACTTAATCCGCTGCACCACCGAGGCTTTGCTTGTCAAGGTCGCAAAAGGGGATCATGAGGACATTGCAACCGTCATAAGTATGAATCAGTTGCCAAGGGTTTGAATTTTGATTGTGGGACCAAGGGTGGGGGGGGTATGCTACCACGGTCGTAAGTGTGAAAAACAGGGTGGATTTGATTTAAATCGAGTTGATTTAAATCACAATTTAAATCATTTAAATCACTAGTAAAAAGGCTTGATTTAAATCAACTCGATTTAAATCATAATTTTTAAAGAGCAACTGTCATCTCTGCTACTCCTTTGACCTATTGTTGACTCACCGATAGTCCCAGGGTTGCAGAATATACAGCCTCATGCTACATAACTAAGCTCCATTTCATGCTGAATAAACTAAATTATTTTTGTATCTTAAATAGAAAACTATCTTACGATATTTTTACCCCCAAAGTTTTTTATTAAAATAAATTCGATAAAAATCCAAAAAATCCGATTTAAATCAAAAAAATCCGATTTTTTTTTTGATTTTTTTAAAAAAATCATTGATGGTGAAAAATGATCTTAAGACGCTTTTTTCAGGGCTGTAGTAACTTTGAATGGTCTCTAAAGGAGGGCTTGTAAATCAAGGACTGCCTGGACACACTTCAAGATTATTCTTTTTTTTTCCCCTCCAGAAATTAGCATTTCTTTTATATAGATCAGTGATGGTTAACCTTTTTGGTGCCGAGTGCCCAAAGCATGCACACGTGCGAATGCATGCACACATGCCTGAACCCCCAAAATGCAATGCAATCGCACGTCAGATGCGCACGGCCCCCATGCAGGCACTCTGGAACCCCTGCACCCCATTTTGGATCTTAGGTTGATGCAAGAGGCTTTCTAGCAGGGGTGAAATGCTCCCGGTTCGGACCGGATCGCCCGATCCGGTAGCGATGGAGGCAGGTGGTTCGGAGAACTGGTAGCAAAAATCCCTGCCCCCCCTCCTCCATTGCCCAGATGAGCTGTGTAATCATCAGAGGCTTTTTTTTTAAAAGCATTTTTTCTACAACCTCTTTGGCCGAAAAAGTGCTTTTAAAAGTAAAAAAAAAAAAAAAGCCTCTGATGATCCTGCGGCTCAGCTGGGATCATCAGAGGCTTTTTTTTAAAAAAAGAAAGCCTCTGCTGATCAGGCAAGTCAGCTGGGATTGTCAGAGGCTTTAAAAGCATTTTTTCTACAACCTCTTCAGCCGAAGGGGTTGTAGAAAAAATGGTTTTAAAAGTAAAAAAAAAAAAGTTGGCCATGCCCACTCAGTCATATTACCCCCACCACCACCAAGCCATGCCCACAGAACCGGTAGTAACAAATCTTACATTTCACCACTGCTTTCTAGGCCCAGAACAGAGCATGGTGCCCCTCCACAGCGCCCTGTTTTGGGCCTGGAAAGCTGCCTGCACCAACCTTCAGCACCCCCCGCCGTGCATGCCCCCTGCCCCCAACCATGCGCATGCGCCCCATCCCCCTTTGGCCGAAACCCAAAAACCAGCTGGCTGGTCGGAGGCGCGCACACATGCACTGTGGAGCCGAGAGGGCTCTGGTTGCCGCCGGTGGCACCTGTGCCATAGATTCGCCATCGCGGATATAGATGCTAATAAGAAGGCTGTAGGCTTGGTGTGATTTTAATAAGAGTTTTTATTGGGCTTAAAAAATGGGAAGTTGTTACAGCTTCCTTCTCCCTTCTAGGATCTTTGGGTGCCAAAAAGTTCATAGAGAACTATCAATCAGAATAGAGCTGGAAAGGAGCCTGGGTAGCTCAACAGACTAAAAGCACTGTTATTAACATTCAGCTGTCTGCAGTTATTGCAAGTTCGAATCTCCCCAGGCTCAAGGTTGACTCAGCCTTCCATCCTTTCTAAGGTAGGTGAAATGAGGACCCAGTTTGTGGGGGCAATAAGCTGACTTTGTATAAAATATACAAAAGTATGAAGGCTATTGCTTAACGCATTGTAAGCCGCCCTGAGTCTCCGGAGAAAGGCGGCATATAAATCTAATTTTAAAAAGGGGGGGCCTTGGAGGTCTTCTAGTCCAGCCCCCTGTTCAAGCACGAGACCCTCTACCATTCCAGACAAACCTCCAGTGAAGAAGCACCCACAATGTCTGGATGCAAGGAGTTCCTCTGGTTAATTGTCCTCACTGTTCGGAAGTTTCTCCTTAATTCTAGGTTGCTTCTCTCCTTGATTAGATTCCATTGTTTCTTGCCCTGCTCTCTGAAGCTATGGAAAGTAAATTGCTCCCTGTTGTGGTCCGCCAGCAGCTTGCGGAGCTGGCAGCGGAGTCGCACAGCGACGAGGCTGAGGAAGAACATGGGCCAGTCCTGGAGGCTGGGAAAGGCCCGGATGAGGGCTCTGCGTCGGAGGCAGAGATGGGGCCAGGGCCATCGGGGAGTGAGGTGCGGACTCCGGAGCCTCCAGAAGCTGACAGCAGAGAGGCAGAGGAACAGGAGGAGCCTGTTCCTAATGCACACATGAGAAGAGCTGCCAGAAGGCAAGAGCAGCTCAAGCAAAGAGGACAACTCGGGAGTAAGGCCAAGAGATGATTGGCCCCTCCCATAAGGCTTAAAACAGACCAGCAATGGCGTTTGGGCTTTGCCGGAAAACAACGTTGGTAGCTTCGTCTTCTTCTTTGTCTACGTCTTGTATTTATTTTTGTATCTGTGACTTCTGAACGTTTGCCAAGAAAGGCCTTTGGCAGTTTGCCTAATTGGACCAAGGTTTGCGATAGGACTGAGGAATTTGTGTTGGGAGGAATTTGCTTTAATTTAGTTGAACGATGCTGGGAATGAAGTAATTCTCAGCTGTTCGAATAAAGTTTGTTTTTTCACTGACTGATTTTCCTACTATTTACTTGGGCCTGGGTCACAACACACCCCTCATCTTTGTGGCAGCCCCTCAAATACTGGAACACTGCTATCATGTCGCCCTGAGTCCTTCTTTTCATTAAACTAGACATACCCAGTTCCTGCAGCCATTCTTTGTATGTTTTAGCCTCCATTCCCTTAATCACCTTCGTTGCTCTTCTCTGCACTCTTTCTGGAGTCTCCACATCTTTTTTGTATTGTGATCAGAACTCAGAATTGGCTCAGAGTAACAGTTGGAAGGGACCTTGGAGATCTTCTAGTCCAACCTCCCGTTGATGCAGGAGATCCAATACAATATGAGACAAGCGGTTGTCCAGTCTCTTCTTAAAAACCTCCAGTGATGGAGCAACCACAACTTCTGGTGGCAAGCAGTTCCACCGGTTAATTGTTCTATCAGGAAAGGTCATTCTTCCTTAGTTCTAGGTTGCTTCTCTCCTTGCTTAGTTTCCATCCATTGCTCCTTGTCCTGCCTTCAGGTGCTTTGGAGAATAGCTTGACTCCCTCTTCTTTGGGGCAACCCCTCAAATATTGGAAGACTGCTATCATGTCTCCCCCAGTCCTTCTTTTCTCTAGACTGGCCAAACCCAAATCCTGCCACCGTTCTTCATATATTTTATTCTCCAGGCCTTTAATCATCTTAGTTGCTCTTCTTTGCACTTTTCCCAAAGTCTCAACATCTTTTTTTTGTAAGGTGAGGAATAGATTGGTGGCTGATCAGGGTGGATTTGATTTAAATCATGATTTAA